GAGTGCTGCAGGGAGGCACAAGAGAGGATGTGTCTCCTGCAGGGTAACAGCAGACAAGCAGTTTCCTGGTCTGCAGTGTAAAGATTTTGCACCATGCAGTCTGAGCTCCAGGTGTGCAGAGTTTCTCAAAATGTATTCGACAAAGTTGACTCTTTTACAACCACACCAGCCCAGATTTAGTTGTTGGCATTAACAGCAACATTTCAGAGATAATGGAAAAAGATCAGCATGCTACCAACCTTTTATTGTCAGTAAAGGGCTTAATATGGTCCTCAAGAATAATGTAGCCTGTAACATTTAGAAAAGCTTCAGTTCAAGAGCTACAGCGAATGTACCTGCTAACCTACTACACAAAATAAATACCTGACCCTTAAACTAGTCTTAATTTTAAATTAAAATTCTGTCATGATGTGATGCTGCTGACGTATAACCCGGATGCGCTGCACCTTTTTCTCAAGCGGAGGAATGCACACGCATGCGTCATGGTACTGTCTTGAATGTGAATCAAAGACTGACACGGAAGAGAGGAAATTGTTACACACAAAAAGTATTCTCATAGCTTCATAACATTACAGTTGAACCACTGATGTCACATGGACTACTTTAACGATGTCCTTAGTACGTCTCTGGGCCTTGAACATGGTTAGTTGCGTTGCTGTATATGGAGGGTCAGAAAGCTCTCAGATTTTATCAAAAATATCTTAATTTGTGTTCCGAAGATGTACAAACATCTTAAAGGGGTCATATGATGCTTTTTTAAAGATCATTATCTTTAACGATGTCCTTAGTACGTCTCTGGGCCTTGAACATGGTTAGTTGCGTTGCTGTATATGGAGGGTCAGAAAGCTCTCAGATTTTATCAAAAATATCTTAATTTGTGTTCCGAAGATGTACAAACATCTTAAAGGGGTCATATGATGCTTTTTTAAAGATCATTATTTTGTGTATTTGGTGTAACAGAATATGTTGACATCCTTTAATGTTCAAAAAACACATTATTTTTCAAATACTGTACATTATTGTAGGTCCTCTATGCCCCGCCTCTCTCAAACGCTTCGTTTTCTACAAAGTCCCTCCTTCCGACAAGCGCAGTCTGCTCTGATTGGCCAGCTGACCCAGTGCATTGTGACTGGCCAAACACCACAAGCACTCGTCTGAAATATAACGCCCCTTACCATAATCGCGAGCTTCATCTTTCAAAATAAATGTAAAGACAGAGCCCGAAAGGGGAACAGAGTCGCGTGACAGACAGTGATGAAGCAGCTATGTGTGCAGTGCACAAGCCACGGTTAAGACAGCTGACTCCACTTTGATGTGACGCCCTCTCTCTCTCTCTCTCTCTCTCTCTCACACACACACACACACACACACACGCACGACAACACCCCGC